TGCTTGACATGTCCCGTAGGGTGTTTAGAGTGAAAAAAGATAGATCAAGAGATAATGGAGTCGTTAGTTCGGGCGATTACAGATTTAATTGCACTGCCGTATAAAGGGAGTTTGAAATGATAATGTACGCACACAATCAATAAGGGGAGTGGTTAGTGATCAGGTAATAAGCGAGAAAAGAATAAAAAATAGCTAGGACAACGCTTACTCGTGTGCAGCTGTCTCGGGTCGACGGGATACAGAAATCCAGTTTCTATAGTAGTAGCGTTTATCAAATTTCGTGCAAGGGTTTGGAGTGACTCATTCTCGAGTAGGGTTATGGCATTATCCACTGTCTGTTGTGCATTAGTGCCAGCATCTGGTGGTCATGGGCTATAGCACGTAGTGTAAATGTGACAGAGTATCGTCAAGGCGTTTTTTTGAAAAGGGATAGGGTGGGTGCATTAATTACATGTTCCGGGAGGGCGTTCCAAGACTGTGACACTCGAAGGGAGAAATAGTTTCGCCGACATTCCAGGCGGCTCTACTACATGACCAGCTTAAACTGGTGACCTCTTAGCGGAGTGTTTTGACTGAGTATTAGAAGGGAATGGCATAGGTGGTTGGAGTTTCTCAGGATCAGGTACACCATTATGAGATCGCCCCTTAGACGCCGATAACGTCCACTCTATATTTTGAGAGTCTTCAGCCTGAGTGAGTAGGGGAGGCTGGTCAAACCTCTGAAGCTCTTCGTTGCCCTACGTTGTGCAGTATCGAGCACGGTGAGATGGTGCTTGAGCCAGGGTTGCCACGCTTGAATAGCGTATTCCGCGTGCGGCCTCACCTACGCACTAAGCATTTTTGGAAAGACTGAAGGGTCAAACTTCCCGAATGCTCTGCGAAGAAGGCCGAGGTACTGGTTCGCTTTCTTAGCTGCCTTTTCAGTCTGCCTCGAACAACCGAGGTCATCTTGAACTATCACGACAAGATCGCACTCGTGAGAAGCCCGCTGTAGAATTTGTGGTCCTAGGCGGTACTTGTGCATACTCTTGTGCCGTAGGCTGAGAACTTTGCACTTGGTGACATTGAAATGCAGCATGTTCTCGATGGACCTTGTGTACGCTTTGTCCAGATCCTCCTGTAACACTGCGTGATCCTCCACTGCAGCTATAATACGCCATACCTTTAGATCATCAGCAAATAGCAAACAGTTAGAAGATAGCACGCTCGCGAGATCATTTATGAAAACCAGGAACAGGCTAGGTCCAAGTACCGAGCCTTGAGGTACGCCGCACTGAACTTCGATGGATTCTGACAGGTTGCTTCTAACCCTCACATTCAGGTGACGTTGCAGGAGAAAGTCTTCTATCCAGCCCAGAACAGGATCGCCGATTGCATACTTCACTCTGTACTTAACTGATCTCAAAGGATCTGTTGTGCATATGGACAACATTTGTGTCATTGATAGTAAGCCTGTTGAACATAAAAACCTTAACATCGTATTGCAAACGGGGACTGACCTGTACCTTCATCTGAATACCAGCAAGGACCAGCCCCCCGTCACGGAAGTGGAGTTTGCTGGATATATCATTTCCACTCCTGGTATAAGCCCGAACGAGCAAAGCCCCAAAGCCATCCTTCACAGTCCGAAACCGTACAATGACCCAAAAGTAAAACATTTCATATTTCTGTGTTCCTATTACTTTCGATATATGCCTACTTTGTGATTATTGCTAAGCTGATGCGGAGGTTGACGAGCCAAAATGAGGAATTCCGGTGGGCCGTTGAACAAGAAAGTGTTTATCTGATTATACGGGCTACCTTTACTTTCGCTCCTACTGTCGAAACCTTTAGTGAGCAATGTCGAACTTCTGTCTCAACGGATGCCATGGATGTTGGGTTAGGCGCAGTTCGGTTCGATTTGCCCGTTGGTAAAGGGAAAGAAATCGCAACTACCACAATTACACAAAGAACCTTTTCAACTGGCGAAAGCGAGGCACTTACATATGTCAGAGCGTGTACGAAATGGTGTTTCTACTTATTCGGGTGTAGATTTACATTGCACAGCCACCATACTGCATTTACAACCCTACATAATCATGATAACAAGGGCCAAAAGTCGGTGAGGCTAAGTCGCTGCAGTTCACAACTACTAAACTACGATTATGAAATCTAGTATTTGCAGTTTGTTCTAAGCAAGTCGTCATCATCATCATCATTATACATGTTAGCTAGAGGTGGGAAACACCTCAGCTATTGTGCTGCAATTCATAAAAGAAACAGGGAAAAATGCAACAGATGCAAGCCAGCTGAGCTACCGGTAATGCATGGGCATCGTCCCGGTAAGCCACCAGCCAACTACTATGTTGCAGAAAAAATAATTTACTATGCAAAATTATATTAGGCTAAATAGTGGGCTCATAGTTAGACCGGGAGACCAAGAGAGGTAGGGTGGGACAAAGACACTCACAGCACGAACGCCACTGAGGTCGGCTCCTAGGCATATCAGTAAGTGTATCCAGCCAAATGTCTTTCGAACCCCAACCAGGCAGCCGAGACGCTCTAACTGAGGCCAGCTCCGAAGTGAGGGCCTCATTCCTCTCGATCAATTCATCGTGTTGCCACCTCTCCTCTTCTTCCATCCACCCCCGGTGCTCAAACAACGCACCTCGCTGGAGTCGGTGGGCCGACATGCATAACACATGGCCCAGCCATTGGAGCCTGGTGCGTGAAATGACGGTGCTGAGCGGTTCATTTTCCTTTTTCTGTGCCGTAAACAAGGCGTCGAACACGCTCGTTGCTCACGCAGTGTTCCCACCAGATGTGAGCTAAATTGCGGAGGCACCGGTGGTTGAACGCAACTAGCCTCTTTATGTCCGCTGATCTAAGGGGCCAGGTTTTACAACCGTACAGTAGGGTCGAACGTACTGCTGCATTGTACACTCTACCCTTCAGGGGGAGAGTGATGTCGTGCCGGCGCCATAAGTGGCGAAGGTTAGCTAAGACGCCTCGAGCTTTTGCTATACGATTCGTGATCTCATCTTCAATCCCACGGGGTTGATACGACTTCCCAGGTAGTTCAATTTCTGAACGACTTCTAGCTGATTCCCACCAAGGATCAGAGAAGGAGGCGGTCCAGGCCAATCTTGGAGGAACGCTTTGCAATTCGATGGTGCAAAGCAAAGCCCGAAGCGGCTGACAGCCAGTGCTAATCTGTCCAGTGCCACTTGGCACGTCTGGGAGCATCCACAAGAGCAGGTCTTCCAAATTTGAAAACGGCTAGAGAAAGATCATCTGGTCCTGCGGCTTTGTACAACTTCAACAGTCCGATCTCACGTTCGACTTCTAAGCGAGAGGGTGGATCCAAAGTGACAACCCATTGAGCTGGACGAACAGTGGCCGACGAAAAACCTAACAATTCCGACGGATTGAATTGCCCTCCAAACTGCTCAGCCCAACGCTCCAAGCATTTTGCCAAGTTGTGGATAGGCTGTCCACTCTCGTCACGTATAGTTTCACTAACACCAGGTCTCCTGCTGCCCGTTTCCCAGATTAGCCGGGATAACTTACGATGGTTACCAATGGCAGCGGCCATTTCCATCTCTGAAGCACGATGAGACCACCAGGATTCGCTGACTCTGTTCAGGCTAGCACGGAGTTTTGCCCGGAGCTCTTTGCGAATTTCATTGCATTTGCTTCTAGCCAGAATATGCGGGCGATCATCGATTAGTTGCAGAGACTGCGAATTGACCCAATGTTCGTGTTGGCTAGTAGACTTACCACATAAGGATTTTCCTGCTGCGGACGCTGTTTCGCGGCTTCCGCTATACAACCAAGGGAACAGTAGAGACTTGGACGAGGTAAATATGATATTTTACCTCTTAAATGGAGTGCCATTGGCCGACCGGCGTGTCACAAGCGGAAGCCAGGAGAGATGGTGCGTCTTGGGGAGGGAACCTGACTCATTTACATACGCCTGCGTGAGTGGTCGGATGGCTTGTGTTTGCGTCAATAAAGGTTGGGCAACACTGCCGCTTCGTTCTTGCTACACTATGCCGACCCGTGCAGTGCGTCGCTCGGACACACGTTCCAGCCTCCGATTACGCCGGACAATCGCTCTGGTGGTCATTTGGGTTGGGGTGGGTGTTGGGGCAGTTTGAGTGGAGTGAGTGAAATGGGGTCTAGGAGAGGGAACGTGGAGGAACCTGAATAAGAAATAAGGGAGGTGTCAGTGGTAGCATGATTTCGCTTATCCACCCCTCTGTATGCAGCAGATAAATAGATAACTCTTGTATTTCTCATCGATGTGAAAGCTGTTCCCGTATGAGGAACCTTTTCTCCTATGAGCGATTACCAATATAGCCTAAAATTATTGTTAGTGACATTTTAGATCTTGATTGTAGGAAGATTGGCATATAATCATGGCACCCACAGCTGGACGGGAGGACAACTCCGATGTTCAGCTAAAGGTCACTATAAAATGTACTCCAGAAAAACGACGGTAAATGCGTTATCAGTTAACCGACGCACGTGGATGTATCTTGACGCTTAGCTAGGAGCAGGGCATAGCCCCTCTCCCATATAGCGATAAGCACGAGGCGGCGTCCAGGACGTGAGCCAACTGCAGAACTATAGCACGCAGAACGGGTTTTTATACCAGAAACTAGTCGACAAAAGCCTCAGCTAACCACGGACATCATCGTGCTACATTCCCTTGTTTAAATTCACTGAAATCGCTGGTGGAGAGAGGAAATTTCAAATTCCGAAAATATGATTTCGTGTGACCTTTACTTACGGTAATTGCGTCTAAATTTGTAGGTATGGACAACAAAGTTTTAGAAAAGCGTCAGTTTGAATTTGGATGTTACTTATTACCAACGTAAGCGCAGAAAATAAGGTTAATATACAATTTTCTTTCCACTCTCTTCCTTGTCAAATTTGGCAATGGACCTAGTCCCGATATCATAAGTTAACAAGCTGTTGTCATTGTTCTCTGTTGTCAACGCACCATTTATTCTCAGGCAAGAATCATGCTTCCCGGATGTCAAAAGGATGATCTCACGTTGGATATAAAAAGCAAATTCTTGGATCTCCGTACACCCCAGTAGTAAGTGTGTGTAACCATTACGAGGCAGTGATTCATATTCCCCTAATCATAAATCATGTAACCAGTTTCCTCAAACAATTTCAACATGTCAACAGCAACCAGCATTTCGCGAGATAGACTGAATTCAGTTTGGTTCTTGCATTCTTAATCAGTCGCTTACAAACGTCAGTGGGAGGAGTTGATGAGTGCATATGACATGGAATCAATAAGGCAACCAATTTGAGCCATGAAGTAACTCCACCCTCGTGGCTCGAAACTCCCGCGCTTGTCCTGGTTCCCGAATGTCATAAAGTAGGGGTCCCATTGCGCCCGATTATCTCAGTGGTTGGTGCGGTGCACCAGAAGCTAGCACGATGGTTAGCCAAAGTTATTAAGGCTATCAGATCTGAGTTGGATGTGCATAGACTGAAAGACACCTTTGAATTCGTTAAGAAAATTCAGAAGCTAAATATGAATGACAAATGCATGGTATCTTTCGAAGTATGTTCACTGTTCACAAATGTCCCTCTGGAGGAGACATTGAATATCATAGGTACACATGCAAGCAAGGTGGGTTTTCCAGCACACCGTTTAAAGACTCTCTCCGCATCTGCACCAATGATGCTCAATTTAATTTTGATGGTAACCTCCACCGGCAAATCGAAGGCATAACGATGGACAGCCCGCTTGGACCTGTCCTACTGATATCTGCATGGGTCATTTGCAAATAACCAATTATGACAAATCATAGAAAAGGCACTGTTCTATTCTAGGTATGTAGATGACACTTCTGTGGTCGTCGATACTCCACAGAAGACAGAGAATACGTTGGAAAAATTAAACCAATGTAATCCGGTGGTCAGCTTCACCATGGAGATAAAGTCGGGGGAGCGCGTTTCCATAAAGAGAAGACCAGAAGGATCGCTCCTACCGTCGATTTATCACAAACCCGGTTGGACAGTGAAGTGTCTAAACTTTAACAGTTACTGCCCGATTAACTATAAGCGATCCATTGGTTCGCACCTGCTTCACGAGACCACGTCGAATCTGGTCCGAATAATCAATCACGAGTGACCTGCAATGCATTGTATCAAAACTACGCTATAATGGGCATTTAAGTAAATTTCTACCAAGACATGGGGAGGAAAATCTCCGAAAACGAACTTGCTATTCCCAGGCAGTTGTTCATCACCATACCTTACAAAAAGGAACAAACTGATAAGAGATTCTGCCACCGGCTACGGCAATCCATAATGAGGTCTTATTACACAGCTGAGCTAGTGCCACTGCACCAAACCAGAAAGTTGTTGCACCAATCAAACCTAGATAAACCTTTCCGTCAGGTCACCACCTTCTGGCTTTATCCATTTAACTGTACGTGCGGTAGCATATACACTGGTCGGACTGGGAGATGGTTATGCACAAGGAGTATGGAGCATGTTCCGCGAGGCCTAGCGATGAGCGCTCTTAAGCTACCTACTAACTCCATTGCTCGACACCTACTCGATTGCAATGCTTGTCAAGACCCCCGTAAGTCGTTCAAGGTCGTCAGTAGGCAGAACAGTTCAACACTGCTCTGGTTTACCGAGGCTTCCGCAATGCGGCGGCTGAATCCCGACCTGTCCACGCAAACTGACCACGTGTCCAGCTTAACCTTGCCATGGTTAGGCATACGATCAGTAAGTGGAAGCGATGACCCGATCGCGCCAGGTTCAAATTGGTTGCCCTATCGATTCCATGTTAAATGTTCTCGCTAAATCCTCCCACTGTACGTTTGTAAGAGACTGATTTAGAATATACGAATTAGACTGAATTCAGTCAATCTCGCGAGATGCTGCTTGTTCTTGCTTTGTTGAAATAAATGATGTATTGCGAATGAAACATTCGTAGCCTAACGCATTCCACTGGATGGTTGGTTAGGGGTTCTAAATATAGAATGAAGAACACCAACTGATAGTGTAATTGCGGATCAAAGTTGTCTGTCTGAATCAGTCACACATAGTTTTGTGCTATTTGCATGGCTGTCGCTCCACATTTTTGAAGAAAAATGGGTGTGTTGTTGGTGTGATTTGGTTTTCTGATATTTGTGTATCATATGATGTAGTGTAGGGCGACAACCGAACTGTCTAGATGCTTTTTGAACCTAGCTAATGCATTGGCTGAAATAATTGCGATTGGGAGGAAATTTCATATGTGACAAACACGTGTTGTGTTAAGCATTCTTATACACGCTAGTTTCATGTGGAAAACAGCTCAGTTATGGTGCCGCGATACAAAGACGAGAAAATACCTGCAACAGAGGTACGCCGGCTGGGTCACCAGTGACGGATGGACATGGTTCTGGAGAGCTAACAGCCGACTATTATGCCACAAAAGTCATAGACTGCCTATTACTTGAGATCGTGGTTGGAGTGGGAGGCTAAGCGAAGGAGGATGGATAAAGGAACTCACAGCACAAACACCATTGAGGTCTGCTCATAGCCATGTCAACTACAGTACCCAGGCAAACGTGTTCATCGCCTTTCGGTCCCCAATCAGGGAGCCGAGAGGTTCCAACCGAGGCCAACTTCGATGTAAGCGGCTTCACTCATCTTGAACAAGTCATAACTTGGCCACCTCTCCTCTTCTTCTTCCATCCACACCCCCGAAGCGCAAACAACGCAGGTCGCGGCAGCCGGTGAGTTGGTATGTGCACGGCGTAACAAAGCTATCAGAGCCTGGTGTGTGAAATGACGGGGCTGAGTGGTTCGTTCTTCTTTCTACGCCATATACAATGCGTCGAACACGCTCATTGCGCACACGGTATTCCCATCATATAAGAGCGAAACTGCGAAGTGTCGAGAAGTGCTTCCGTCTACATATCAGGCTATTGTATTCTTCTGTCAGTTTGGGGAGATAGATTCCCACATTGCTGTTATAACAGCTTTAACAGATAGCGGTGAGCGTGCGCAGCATTGCTTAATATCTGGCAAACCATGATAAGACTCACACTAACGCCGAAGTCGTTTACTGAAAAGTCCCAGCACCCAGTCGCTGTTCTTATGTCAAGAGGCATAGCCCTTTGACCTTAATTGCCCGATGCTGCGAATCTTCAAAAACAGTGAGGTTCCGCATCTGCTAAAGACGCCGGGCTTAAATTGCATGTGCCACGTGAGTCAGTATGTGTGCGAGCAGAAGATATGACGGAGCAAACGAAACTCCTATTTAAGAGGCTTAATTTTGGGATGCCATTCTCTAGTGTTATTTTAAATGGCGTCAAACAACCGCGCTTTTCCAGAATCAGCAAACTGCGAGCACTTTCGCGAGAACAGTGTTGGAGATCATGGCCAGACAGCTAATAAGTGTGAACCGTTTGGTGTCCTAGATGGATAACACAATATTTCATTAAGTGGGACAAACCATATATCGTATCAAGGTCATTTCGGAGCTGCACTCGGACACCTTGCATTAAGATCAGCCGCCAAACTTGGGTGTCGTGGCATACAACAAACAGTGCGAAGTGATTCAACGCAATATTAATAAGAAACAACAGATCCTAAACCGAAAGTTACAGCGCAGAGCATACGGCTTCGATCAGATTTTTGAAACGTGTTTATGCCCTTGCATTTCCAGACCACAATGCAAAAAATGTTCGCTTAGCGAAATGTGGAATGGGACAACCGATGAAGCATTCGTGAAAGTTGGGAAGAGAATCTAGTGTTTCAACACATAGGTTCGCTCATAGTAGACGAGGTAGACAACAACTAATCCAAAGCCAAAGTACAGTTTGGACATAACAAACTTGTGCTCATTAAAAATGGTAAAGAATGCATGGGATTAACAAGTAGAGTAGGTTGGAAAAGGATTGCAAATTTGAAGGGTACATAGGTGGACAAAATGAAATGTGCAACGGCAAAACGACAGGACAACGGCATGTGGGAAGCAGAATTGTGGGAATGCGTAGGCACAATGCAAAACGGAATACTAGGTTAATGTGGGTAATGTTCAGTGTAAATAATAACCGGATTGCTCACTCGTATGCACCAATTTGCGTGCGTCAGTCTGGATTATAATTCCAAAATCTAGTGAAACGGAACACATTCCAGTATAACTGTTCCTTCTAGGGAGCTACATGCTGTATCCCAGCGTTTTTGACAATGGCGAAGGTGGAAGCATGGACAACTGAGATTCGGGTTTGGCAGACCCGGACGGAAGTAAGTTCGTCGACAGTCTAAACGACTGTATTGCTGACGTACTTTCAAGCTGCTGCCTCTCAACTTGGTGTTCGGACTGCGTTTCAGTAAGTCGTGACATACGTCACATGAATCATCCAGTAATTGTTATGCAAATATAGGTTGCTCACGGCGTCATCAGTAGTGTCCACTGCACACTCCAAATTTCCTCAACAGGGCCTGGTACGAAAGGAGATAGAACCCCTTGAGATTTGTTAGCATCCGTGTGAGGATAGATGAATCCAAAGGTCTGAGTGCCTTTGGCTAGAGGCAGGCTATCGTGGTGGCTGCCACTTTTGAAGCAGACTCGGACTGTTTGGATCAGCCGAGGTCGTCCTGTACGAGCACACGCAGATCACGTTCCTGAGAGGTGGTCTACAAATGGATCGCCCCAGGCCTGTAGATGCCTACGTGTCGATTGCGAATTTAAACATCATGACCTTGTCCACATTGATTGATAGCTCGTTCCTCAGCGAGATCCCGCTGGAGGAATTCGTGGTCATCGAATCACTGGATCGTACGCCACATCTTGACGTCATCTGCGAAGTGTATAAATTTTTTTATCAATCTCGGCAGATCGTCCATGAAGACATACTAGAAACGGGATCCAAGTACCGAATCCCGCGGTCCACCGCACTCTACTCGAATCGGGTCAGATGCAGATGTTCTGACTCTAAGTTCCAAACGCCCTTCGTAGAGAATGTTACCTATCCATACCAATACTGGATCTCCGATGCCATAGTGCTGAAGGTTATGAAGCAAAATACGATGATTTATGTGGACGACATCGGTTCCTGTCTCTCGTTAACT